TCCTAAGGAAGATAAGTTTTATTAAATTAAAGCTTCTATAAATTATATATATAAGATTCATAAAAGTTAGAATGAGAAGATTTATATTTTGTAGCATGGAAATTGATAAAGACTAACATTACTTATAGTATTTTTCAATTTATTTTACAACTCAACAAATACAATATAATATAAATTGAAGAAAATATTCTTTAAACAAAATTAGCAGTCCAATTGATTTTGGATAAATGCAATAAAATATATATCATAAACATAGACAAATGAGTTTCAAGGTACAGACTTGCCAAAAAATACCCAAAGTAATTTCAAATAGTTAGCTTGTTTCAAATAATTAAATAATCTAATAACTATTTGATATATACTGCATTATAGTATATATATTTTAAATTAAATTCGCCTTCTTGCTGAACCTGTGAAAGCTGATTTCTCTAAACTAAATTCCTAAACATACCAGTATCTAATTCATTCAGAAGTATTATTCATATCATTCTCAATATAGAAGAAAAAGACCAAAATTTTCAACATTACAGCTCTCCCTTGATAGTCCGACATTTTTTAATCTGACATGCACAGTAGTCCGATGCACCTCCCGTCAAGGTACACGTCCTGCTTGCACAGAAGCATGTCACGACGTGAATCTCCCCATCCAATTCTTACATGATGACACACATTTCGTGTGTTTTCCGTGAGCAGTTCTGTTCGAACAGTTGGAGTAGGGAATATTGTAAGCTACTGCTAGCAAAACAATGCAAAATATGTAATTATTTTCGGTAATCCAGACACTTTTGGTAATCCAACACCCCTTTGGTCCCATACCTGTCGGACTATTAAGGGAGAGCTGTATTTGTTAAAAACGAATTAGATTAATATATGATTTTATATTATATAATATATTCTGATATTACTATTAAAGTTTGTCATTGCAACTGAAAAACAAAGTCAAGAGCTAATAATTTAGAGTTTTAAGAGTATAATTGTAGATTCATATATTTAAATAAATTTAAATAAATCATTATGAAAAAAATAATGTTCAAAATTCAAAATTTTCTAATATTACAAGAGTGATGAGGAATTTTCTGTTGACAAGAATCTACTCCTATTTTTCTAAATGATAAAACTGTGCAACATTTTACATAAAACAATTTATCCTGTTTTTCTGTTTAAATGTATTCACTTATCTATAAAAATTATTAGCATTCCTTTTAATTATAGTATTCTAACAGTTTCCATCAAAATTTATAAAATAAGAATAAAAAATCAAGAAAATAGCATAAGACTTCATTTTGTTTAATTCAGTAATTGAATAATAATAGATCAAACAATTTAAGACACTTAACTATTTAACAGATCTATCAGATCACTTTCAAATATTTAATTATTTTGTATTTTAAATTAAATGAATGTATTGTTTTCTTTTATCATTTATTTTCAATATTTAATTTATGAAATTTATTTCAATCTCATCTACTTTTTACTATATTTTCTTTTCATTATAATTCTAAAATTTATAGTAAATTTTTATAATTCTTAAATATTAAATCATTATGCTAAAAAACTTATTATTAAAATGGAGTTTTAACATCTTAAACTTTAAAAAGCTTTTCAAATGTCTATCAAAGAATTATTTACTTTAAACTCATTCATTAACTAAGTTTTGTACAGATATAAGTATTTATAAGTTCACATTATATATTTCATAAATTTAAAAGAGAATGTTTATTAAAGAACATTAAATATTTATTATTTATTTACAAATCATATTATGACGTTATATATAAAATAAATATTGGAAATTAAGTATGTAAATGTATTAGATAGAAGTTATCATTTTTATTAAGATAAAAAAATAAAGAGCTATTATGGTTTCAATGTAACTGTAAGAAAACTTGGTGCTCCTTCAAAGACTCTTTAGAAGTTATAGATAAATAAGAATAAGAGAGAAAAAATATTTCTACTTGAATTAAAAAATAAAAGATGACAAATTAAAGGATTATATATGCTACATGAAGATTTATTATTATTATTATTATTATTATTAAAAAGTATATAAGTTATACAGTTCTTTTTAATGTGACATTATAAAATAAATATCAATATTTTCTAATAATACAAAAATTATTCATTTTTCTAGCATATAATTCTCCTGGCAAACAGAATTTTTCAATCAATAAGATCTTTATTTAATTTATAAATTTATATTACTGCAGTGTATTTAAATATTTATAAAAAGAAAAATTTAAATTTTGTGAATTTTAATTATTGTTTTAATGTATATTCATTAAGTAAAGGTAGATTACAAGATTTCATAAAATTAAACTAATATTACATTAAAAACCTTTTTTTACAGCATTAATTAATTATATTAAAATTTTCTAACATTGTATAATTTATGTTTCTAAAAATAAAGTTTAACAGCATAAAAAAAATCTTAAAATATATTTTAAAATGGCTTAATTTTCAATTATTAATAGATTAAATACTGTATTTAAATTATTTATCAAACTAATAAATAAATAAACTTTTCACAGAATTAAGTACAGATTAAAATAAAAATTTTAAAGTTTATATTATATTTTGAAAAAAATTTTTTATTATATGTACAGCAATAAAATATAAATTTTAATGTGTAAAAAAGAAAATGTTGTTTTACCGGAATTACCAAAATAATGAAATAATTTACAGATTTTGAATAAATCTGAATTTGTTTTTATTTCTAAAATACTTTAAGCATTGATAAAAAATTTTAAGTTTTCCATTTTTCAAAAAAAATTTTTTAAACATATATAAAGTTCTATTTCTAATAATAACAAATAAGATGAGTAAATAAAATGTGAAAATGTATATAATACTATAGCAGTACTGCAGCTGACATGATTCTTTTAATTCAATATCAGCATTTGAATACAGCTTATATTTATTCATCAGGACTTCAAATGATGAATAGATGTGTAATTGAAAACTTCACTCACAAAAAATGTGTTTATTGTAATAATTGTTATATTCATTGCTATATAGCATTATAGTAATTACAGAACAGTTATAAATCATTGATATATTGAAATATTCAAAGTTATTAATATTTTTTTATCAACATATTATCTGATTTCCAATTAGTAATAATTAAAAATTCTATACAATAAATTAAAATGATAAAAAACTTATCAAAATAATAAGATTTGTATGCATTTTAATGTATTACTGTTTTTTTTTTTTATGAAGATAGCATATTTTCAAAATAAAAAAATAAGATAAAAATTTAGTTTTATATTAAATCAGAAAAATACAGGGTTGAACTAAGATAGCTTTAAAGGATTATATTGAAAATCAAATTAATATAGACCTCATAAAATTCAAATTGTGAATGAATAAATCAATTACTTAAAAATTTCAAACTATATCTAAGCAAGGCAAGTTTTGCTATAAAGTAGCAATTAAATAAAGTTTTAATAAAAACTATTATTGGTTAGATAAACAATTTAAAATAAACAATGCATGTGTGTTAAGTTTTAACAGTATTTCAGTACAGTATTTGCAACAATTATCCCATAAGACATTTTGATAATCTATAATTTACAGAAAAATGATACCTTCTTCCACATCTTTTCCAGCACCAAATTTTTAATAAAACAAATGTTTTTGGTCACTTTCAGGAGCCTGCTTCAGATTTTAAACCAATACAAATTCTCAGTTAAAAACATTCATTTTAATAAACATTTGGTGCTGGAAGAGGTGCGGAAAGTGTCATTTTCTCTAAACTGGTTCCCGTCTTTCTAAGAGGTGCTATGATTTACATTGACAGAAATATCAATATGAAATGATTTCATAATTGACAGAATTTAATTTGAATAAAAATATATACAGATTCATTTAAATAATAAATGTTCAACACTCACCTAAAAGTTATCTTTTTAACAAAATGTATGACTCCGGATATAATACCTATTAACGAAAAATTTCTTTCATCAAATCTTTAATGATCATACNTTTTAATTCAATATCAGCATTTGAATACAGCTTATATTTATTCATCAGGACTTCAAATGATGAATAGATGTGTAATTGAAAACTTCACTCACAAAAAATGTGTTTATTGTAATAATTGTTATATTCATTGCTATATAGCATTATAGTAATTACAGAACAGTTATAAATCATTGATATATTGAAATATTCAAAGTTATTAATATTTTTTTATCAACATATTATCTGATTTCCAATTAGTAATAATTAAAAATTCTATACAATAAATTAAAATGATAAAAAACTTATCAAAATAATAAGATTTGTATGCATTTTAATGTATTACTGTTTTTTTTTTTTATGAAGATAGCATATTTTCAAAATAAAAAAATAAGATAAAAATTTAGTTTTATATTAAATCAGAAAAATACAGGGTTGAACTAAGATAGCTTTAAAGGATTATATTGAAAATCAAATTAATATAGACCTCATAAAATTCAAATTGTGAATGAATAAATCAATTACTTAAAAATTTCAAACTATATCTAAGCAAGGCAAGTTTTGCTATAAAGTAGCAATTAAATAAAGTTTTAATAAAAACTATTATTGGTTAGATAAACAATTTAAAATAAACAATGCATGTGTGTTAAGTTTTAACAGTATTTCAGTACAGTATTTGCAACAATTATCCCATAAGACATTTTGATAATCTATAATTTACAGAAAAATGATACCTTCTTCCACATCTTTTCCAGCACCAAATTTTTAATAAAACAAATGTTTTTGGTCACTTTCAGGAGCCTGCTTCAGATTTTAAACCAATACAAATTCTCAGTTAAAAACATTCATTTTAATAAACATTTGGTGCTGGAAGAGGTGCGGAAAGTGTCATTTTCTCTAAACTGGTTCCCGTCTTTCTAAGAGGTGCTATGATTTACATTGACAGAAATATCAATATGAAATGATTTCATAATTGACAGAATTTAATTTGAATAAAAATATATACAGATTCATTTAAATAATAAATGTTCAACACTCACCTAAAAGTTATCTTTTTAACAAAATGTATGACTCCGGATATAATACCTATTAACGAAAAATTTCTTTCATCAAATCTTTAATGATCATACAAGAATATTTAAATAAAAAATTAAATATTTCTTATTTATCAAGAATTAAAAAGAAATTTGATTATTATTTAATTCATTTTGCTCTTTTATACTAAAAAAAATATCCTCTTAAATCATTTTTTGTACATTAAAAATTACATTAAAAAATTTAAATTATTTTTCAATTTTTTTAGTGTTATTTAAAATTTAGAAAAAATATTTACAAATTTAAAAAATTTTTAATTTACAGCCTGATTTAATTTATATTGTATGCAAAATGCATATTCAATTTCGAATTTAAATCTGTTTGTCAGCAATTTAGACATTATTAATACTGTATTAATTTTGAAATTATATATTTATATGTAAATATTTACTTACATAAAATTGCTTAAAGATATTCATTTATTTAATAACTAATTTTATTCTAAAGAAAAACATTAATTAAAAATTTTTAAACTTGCATTAAGTAAAGAGTTCAAAACATTTGTAATTTTTTTTTTATCTAAAAATAATATTTCAAAGAAAAATTATTTATTTACTTAATTTTTTTATTAATCTAAAGTAGTAAAGGATACCATTCTGTTTTGTCTATCATGGATTTGAATATTTTACTTTACGAATATTTTATGACTTAACAGAATTTTTGAATGCATTATGTATCAATATCACTTATTTTAAGCCATTAGTAAAAATGAAATGTGAACTACTGGCTTATGATTAAGCCATTAGTTTGCATTATAAAATATGATGTTAAATTACTAATTTGTTTACAAATTTGATATTAAAGCAAACATGAAGATGTTTTAATACACTAAATAAAAGAAAAATACAGATTGAACAAATAAATAATTCATATAAAATATATTCCAAAAGCAATGATACTGGCACAAATGAAAATTATATCAAAAGTAATCATAATACTTCATGAACTGAGAATTGACTACTTACTCAATGCTGATTATTAAAACATCTACAAATTCAAAAATGTAAAAAAAAAATCCAAACAATGTTATAGTTTATGATATCTTTGCATTAAAAATTTTCCATTATTTTTATTATTTTGTTGATGAAATTTAAAATGAAGAAAAATAATAACTTGTCTAGTGTTTTTATAAAGTAAGCAAATACATCATAAATAATTACTTTAAAAAAATCTGAGATGATTAACATGTCATAGATTCAAAACTTTGCATAATTTAAATTATAAATAGCACTATCTTCTCTGTATTTTTAAAAAATAAATCAATTTGCAATTATTAATTAATAAGCATTCTAATTTATTATATATTACTTTAGTTAACAAGAAACAACTCTCTTCTTTTCTTTCTTATATGTTTTATAAGATAAAATGTTAAATTTGAAAAAAAATTTTAAAAGTTAAATCATCCTTGTTTTAAGAAATTAATTATTTATTAAATAAGTTTGAAAAGCTGTTTGTTAGTTTAATTAATTAGTAGAGCTGTAATAATAAACTAAACATCAACAATAATAAACTTAATGCATGTCAAGAATAAACATTGTTCCAAAGTATATCTTATTTTACTCTGATATAAAGTGTTATAGAAAATATAATCAATACGAATATTTATAATTATGTGAAATTTATAGTGAAAATTTTTATAAATTACTGAAATAACAAACTAGAAAAATAGCAAGTAATTCATATTAATTTAAATATATTAACAAAATATTACTATTTTAAATACATCTTTTTCATTATATTTAGATCTTTCATAAGTGATTCTAAATAATCTACTGTATTCTTTAATTATATAAATAACTAATTATCATGTCAATATAACAATGTCTTGGAATAAAAATTTTAATATCTAAATAATTTTCTTGATTTTAATATAGTACACTTTAGCATAACTTATTATATTTAAAAATTATATTTTACTTATTTAAAATGTTCAAAATAATTGTAATAAATAATATATACAATATTTTATCATCATCTCTACTTCAAAAATTATTTGCTTACAAGATGGGAATATTTTACTAGTAATTAATATCAGTATAAATTCAATTTACGATAACCTAAGAAATTTTAGAGAAATATTAATTTAATTCCTTAATATTTATTAAAATAATTTGTTTGTTTTGAAATTCACAATTTAAATAAATTATTAGATATAAGTAAAATTATAAATTTACAAAAATGTCATTTAAAATTTTGATGCAAAATATTTGCGGACAAATCGTCGCCCATTATCTAAGATATATGAAAATAAAAACAAAAAATATTTTATAAATAAATCAAGCGAGATATTAGGATATTATGTATATAGTATATATAATTTTAAGATAAAAATAATTTTAATCTTTCACAATATAATTCCTAGCATAAAACCTCTAATCAGATTATACAAACAACATTAAATTAATATTTTCAGATGAAGAAACTAGTAAAATGCACGATTATTATTAATAATACAGAAATTTTTAGTTTATTAATTAAATTTTTTCATTTATAAAATTTCAAATGCATTCAACTATTATAAGTTTCAACAGATTTTACTGGATTTTTAAAATAAAATTTAAAAGCTTAATTATATATATTTTCGGTCTATTAATTAAAGTATAATTTAAAAATGTATAATATTTTAGCTATTGATTAAAAACAACGAAACGCAAAAATATCCACAACTAGACGGCATTTAAAAATATAAATTTGAAATTATTTAATGCTTAAAGTAATATTTAAACTAAATAATTCAGTGCGTGCGAATAATTAAAATATCGTTTTAATAATTAAACATAGTATTATATTGTCGATTTGTTGATCAAAATTGTCAATTTAAAATCATTTAAGTTTTATAGAATATTTTTTTTTTTTAAAAAGAAGAGGACAAATCAGATGTAGAAAATAATAAAATTTGTATTTAAAAAAAAAAATATATATATATATATATAAATTT